TTTAGGTTGATACCGGTAATAACAATAGTAATATTATTATGCACAGATTAAAAAAGGAATATAAAATTATATGTAAAATAAATTTAAAAAATAAAATGAAAAAAAAAAATATTATAATTATTGTTGTATTTCACAGGTCTATTTTTATATTTTTATTGAGTAGCCCACATTAGGAATATATAAAGTGAATGAAAAATGATAGACCTCTATCCATACCATATATGGTATGATCATTTTTTTAAAACTTAACATCTATCTAATAATTATTATATAAATTAGACAATAAAATTAAAATTATTGAGGATGTTTTTATTTAATCTTGGTATTTACTTCAGTTGCATAAAAATTAATTTTAATTAAATATTTTACTAATATATTTTTAAAAAACAAACTTGCACCCATGACACTCACACACATTATAGTGTTATGATAGCATTATAAAATGTTAAAAAAAAAATTACAGGTAAAAATGATATTACTTATTATCATATATTATACCCCTTTTCAAATGTTTTTAGTTGATGTTGTTGTTCTCGTTACAGAAATGGATTGTTATTTTTGTAATTTGATAATAAACAATAATGATAGGGGGGTTTATTGGGGTTAATTTTTCAAAATTTTTTTAACAATATTTAAAAATTTGTAATATTGAATTTACCACACTCATAAAAACAAAGAAAAAAAAACACCCCCATACACACACAATTCTTATTTCAAAGATATAGTAAGAACAAAAAAATTATATAAATCTTGATGGTCATCTATCATATGACTCGGGGTAAATTGAAAATTTTTTTTTTTTTTCAATATTTATTTTTGGTAAATGAATTTTTTTTTTTTAATTTAATTTATTAAGAGATAGGTAATATTTAAAAGAGATAATCATCTTATATTGTTATTTTAAGTTTATATTTCATTTTTTTTTTTTTAAAATTCATTTTAATTTTACCTATTGTAAATTTTTGTTGTTAACAACTAAATTTAAGTGTTTAGCCCATTTTTAATATACCATTGTGTTATAATTTTTAAAAACATCAATAACAATAACCCAATAGTAATATTTCCAATAACTCATAAATGATTTTTTTTTTAATAAATTATCCGCATTATTGTTTTTATAAATAATTTTTTTAAATATTAATTTAAACTTTCATGCTCTTCTTATATTTTTAAATAAACTTCACCCACACAAACACATTAACACACGCCCACACTATACTATAATAAAAAATAAGGCTTCAATATAAATATAATATGTAATTATATTGAAAATTAATTATAACTGTTAAATTATTTAAATTTTCAAAAATTATAGAAAAAACGTCATAAATGTAAAAAATGATTCTATTCATTATTGCATATCTCACTATTATTAATGAAAAACCCACGATAGTTATTTTTAAAATTTTATTTATAGCTCATATATTTTTTTTTTTTTATTTAAATTTATTATTTTTATTTTTTTTTTTTAACCAATATTTTTTTCTGTTGCTCAGATGATTCTACCAATTTCTATTTTCATTTAAAGATTTATTATTGGTAGTTATTTATTTATAAAATAGTATAAAAAAAAAAAAAAAAAAACAATTTAATTGTTTTTTTTTAAATTAACAATATCGTTCAAATTTAATAAAAAAATTATTAGTTTTTGTGGGTTAATGTGGGTTATTTTGTGTGTTCATATTAAAACTACTATTGTTGAATTTAATTTTAAAATAAACCATACCAATTATTTAACCTCTTAACACATTTTTTTTTTTTTTCTAAATCTTTAGAAAATCAAAAATATATCTTGTTTTTCCCACTATTACTTTATACTACAACTTTTTTTTTTTATTCTAATAATAGAAAAAAATGATAAATATTCATTTTTAAATTTTAAACAATAATTAAATTTAAATTGTTTTTCTTTTTAAAAGAATAGAGTATAATCTAAAAATAAACTTTTACATCCATTGGTTATAATTTAAAATCAATGAAAAAATTAATTTTTTTTAAACACCCACCTTCGATATAATTGCGCCCATTGAATTTTATTAATTAAATAATAATATGGGATGTTTAAAAATACCTAATTACTAATTAAAACAATTTCAATGAAATACACTTTTTACATTTAAAAATGATTTTTACTATAAAAAGAAAAATTATATGATAATCAGAATAATTATATAATATTATTTTTAGCTTTTCTATACATGTATTTTTTTTTTTTTTTTTTTTTAATTTATTATTTTTTTACAAATAATTATTTTTCTATACCCACACTTCTCATATAAAAATTATATGTACTATTTATACATAGTATACAATTCAAAACAAAAGAAAAATAAACATAAAAAAAAAAAAAAAAAATTCTAAAAAAATTCTAAATAAAAAATTAAAGTATTAAAACTATATATAATAATTGTAAAAAAACTATATTATTTGTTTATTTGTTTATTTGTTTATTATATTGTTTTAGAATTTGAATTTTTAAAATTAATTAAAAACTCTAAAAGTATTTCTTTTGAAGCTTCGCTAACTTTTAAAAACTTTGTACCCAATAGTCTTTGATTTACTTGTATTTGAATTTTATTGTCAATTTGATTTAATAGTTTAAGTGATGCTGATATGGACGCTAAATAATTAGGATCTATACTCGTAGTCGACTTGGAATTAAATAAATAGTAATCCAATAAAAGAAATATACTTTCATAGTACATTTTATGAAAATTTTCGTCTATTTTTGATATTTCTAATAATAAATCTTTATCACTTTTTAAAAAAAATTTAATCTTTTTAGCATGTTTACTTTTACTAACTAAATCTATTGAATTGCTATAAATTAAAAAATAGATTTGATCGTTTCCTGATGGTTGTGGCTGTAGTGTGGATATAGGTTGGTTTGGTTGGTTTAAATGCTGTCTTTTAATTTCTTTTTCTAATATATCTAAAATTATCCATAGATATATATTAAATGTTGCTTCATCCGAAAGCAGTTTTTCCAACATATCCTTGATCTCTTTATTTAGTTCTTGTTGGCCAACAGATTGCTCTTGTTGTATCTTTATAAAATGTTTTAAAATTAATTGAGAGGATGCTTTTTTTTTAATATTATCATTTTTATATAACATTGATTCTATGTTGTAGATTAATGATTTTGGTGTTGTATCGATGTTACTATTTTTACTACCTGCGATTGATTTTAAGTTATTGTTTAATTGGTTTAATGATTTTATATTATAATCTATTAATAAACTATTAAAACTATTAATTGTAATAAGATCGCTAAAACTCTACATAATAACTTGGTATTAGTTTCATTTTTATTTATAAATATATTGTTTATTTAAATTATACAAACATCTTTTAAACTATTTATATTATTATCTACACTATTTACACTATTATTTACACTATTATTATTATTGGTTAATTTTAAATTATTAAAATGATAATTTAAAAAAAAGCTAAATTTATTTTCTGTAATATTTAAATTATTAATCCATAAATTAAAAACATATTCTTTTAAATTGTTACTATCATTTATTATATCTCTGAAATCTATGTCTAGTTTAGGTACTTTGTTTTGAATTGAATATTCTTGAATTGAATCATCCCAAAACTTTTTAACATGATTTAAATATATATTATCTTGAAAAATGTTATTATTATTATTGTTGTTGTTTTCATTGTTATTATCGAAGCTGCTATCTCTTTTTATATATTCTTTAAAAGGTATTAAAAATTTATTTTGAAATAAATCTAACCATTGATATATCTTTCCTACACTATCTTCATTCCATTCTTTTTTTGAAAATTTACATTCATATAATAATACAATCACTGATTTTATAAACTCTTCTTCAGAAACCATTTCAAACTATGGCGACTTTATAATATAAATAAAATTTAAATGAATAAATAAAAATGAATGATTGCAGATTTTTTTTTGAAATTTTTTATATTTTTTAATTTTTAATTTTTTATTTTTTAATTTTTTTTTTTTTGTTTATTATTTTTATTTTTTTTTATTGTTTTATAATATCTAAAATTATGTCATATTTTTTTTTAATATTATCATTATTTTTATTGTTATTATTGTTATTATTATATTATTATAAGCTATTTCCTTTTGGTTAAAAAAATTATTATTATTACTTAATATTTTTTTATTTTTTATATTATTATTTTTTTTATATTATTTTATTTTAAATGATTTTTTGTTGTTATGATTATCATTAAAATAAATTATTTACTGGATTATCTTCTAAGGCAACTTGAAGAATTCTCATTAATTCTAAAAATCTATTTGCAAAATTTGGATGGTTTTGCATTGCTATGTTCATTAATTCGATACCACCAGAACGAGCAATTGTTAATTTGTTTTTTGGGTTACAGGAAAGATTTTTTAAGGCACCTCTACCTTGCATTTGGACACCTGAATGATAAGGGTGGTTTCTCATTGCTTTCAAGATTAAAGTGATACCACCCTCACGAGCAATAGTTTCTTCGTTTGCTTCATCTTGATATGCTAAATTGATTAATGCTGCACAACCTTCGTCTTGAACATCTGGATCATCAGGGTGATTTGACATTGCTGCCAATACCAACTGAATACCATTTTGACGAGATATCATATTCTTGTTATCTTCATTACGTGCCAAGTTTCTAAGAGCACCACAACCATTTAATTGAAGATCTGGGTGGGAGGCAAAAGCTCTCATCGCTCTTAATATTAATCCAATACCACCTTCTTTGGCACTTAATATTTTATTACTATCGTTACAACCCAAATTTCTTAAAGCACCGCAACCTTGAGTTTGAATACCAATATGATTTGGATGATTTCTCATTGCAGTTGCTATTGATTGAATACCACCTTCTTGAGCAACTCTTGATTCGCTGACATCATTACGTGCTAAATTTCTTAAAACAAATGAAGTGTTATATTGAACACCAGGGTTCATAAGATGATTTTTCATTGCGTGAAGTATTAACCCTATTCCGCCCATTTCTACAACTGTTAGGTAATTGTCATTTGAATATAAGCCAAGATTATTTGGTGAATCACATGTTAAGTTACCAAGTGCCCCGCATGCATCTTCTTGAACACCAGCATCGTATGGATGGTTCTTCATTGCACATAAAATTAAACCAATACCATCATAACGAGCAATTAATGATTCGTGTTCATCTTCTTTTCTTTGTCTATAACTTAATCTTTTTAATATATAACATGTTTCTCTTAATATAGTTGGATTATGTAAATTATTTTTCATTACACCAATAATTTTCTTTATTTGCCCATTTTCATCTGATTTATCAAATGTTTTATAATATTCCTATTTTATTAAAACAAATATTAATATAAATAATTTTATTTTTCAGAAACTAATTTATACTTACTTTTGGTAACTTATCAATATAACATAATATCATTTTTGATTGGTATGAGGTTGGGTTGGACCATCTTGAATTAAATTGCATTGCATAATAAATTCTTGGACATGATTGTTCAAATAATAATTCCCAAAATTTAAATACATCTACTATATTCCATATTCTTTTACAAGTTAAACTAATATTCCATAAATCATTTGCTGATAAAAATGATATTAAATGAACTAGCATTTCTGTAGGTATTAAAAATAAATCAAATGTCTGAAGGCCTCCATTGTTGTTACTATTATTATTACTATTGTTA